CAATGGAAGGGTAACTGATGTGATACAGCAATTTGTATACGGGGTAAAAGCGGGAGTTCATAATCCACTTGAATCAAACCGTGTAATATGATGTATTAAGAACTATGTAATGTTATGAACGACCAATTAAAAAAAAAAAAAAAAGAAAATTCAAAGATAGAGGACTTTAGGACTGGTTGATCCAGTGGTTTAACAGTATCATTAAAACTCAAATTTCTTTCTCTGTTTTGCTTTCTAAGGGTTGAGTATATCCTAACTATGTTTCTCCACATATCCAGTAAAAGGATTGTGTGTGTGAGCACACAAATACATGTACACACAGTTTTTTACCACATTCTTAAATTATTAAAATTAATGTTAGAAGATGGACCAGCTTTGGTCCCATACCCATTTTGTGGGTGGAGGGGGTACCAGGAATTGAACCCAGAGGCTCTTAACTACTGAGCCACATCCCCAGCCTTTTTTTTTTTACATTTTATTTAGAGATAGGGTCTCACTGAGTTCCTTAGGGCCTCATTAAGTTGTTGAGGCTGGCTTTGAACTCAAAATCCTCCCACCTCAGCCTCCCAAGCTGCTGATATTACAGGTGTGTGCCACTATGCCCAGTCTGTACCCATTCTTGAACCAGTTCACATGGATAGGGAAGCGACATGTTTTGATTATCTTATTAACTTAAGCATATCTTTACCTGAATTCCCAACCTGGAAGTGGAGATAGCTCCTCAGAAAAGAAATAGGTTTTGTGGAAGTACATGCATGGGAAAGCAGTAAAATAGATTCTGAGTAGACTAATATCTGTTCTTGGAGGCCTGTTTCATGCAAATAGGCAATGATTCATACATTAAATTGGGTGGCAGAGGATGACACTAGGTATTATATCCTTGAAATATAAAAATTTATCTCTTAGAATTTTTTATGTAAAAGCTGAATTTTATCTCTATCTAAGGTGATACCAAATTTCTAGTGATTGATCCTCTGGGATAGTTTGCCATAATAATTTTGTCAGTCTAGTCTTCTAATTGCTGAAAGAACTATGACCCAAAAAGTTCATTCTCAGTCACCAAATTATTTTTACAAAAGCCATTTTTTTGAAAAATTGACCAATTTTTTAAAAGAGTCTTAACATCTTGGGCACTATACATAACTCAGATGCTCTACTCCTGTACTTTTGATAGTCAAAGATAAGTCATATTAATTGAATTTTCAGTTTCATTAAAATATTTGGAAAAGAAAGATACATAAAAATATTAGAATGGAATATAAAATTCAAAGAATTTTAGAGATAAAACTTCAAAGTAATGACATTTTAGGTTATGTTTACTCTCCCCTAACCATTAATGGAAAAATATAAGCAGTATTAACCTCTTTTGGATGGGGGAGCCACATCAATGAAATTACTTTTCTCTTAGAACAAAAATGGTATGATTTTCTAAATCCATAATGTCAAGTTGAGAAAAAGTGCAAAATTGTAAGTTTCTTACTCTTTAACTTTTTAAATAATATCCCCCTTTTTTATAATGAAAAACTGAAATTCAGGGCGGGGGCTGTGGCTCATCAGTAGTGTACTTGCCTGGCATGTGTGAGGCACTGGATTCTATTCTCAGCACCACATATAAATAAATAAAATAAAGGTCTATCAACAACTAAAAATATATATATTTTTAAAAACCCTGAAATTCGAAACCTTATTTTTTTAGAGTTATTGTTTAGAAGATAAAGACAGGATTTTAAAGTACATCTTTTGAATTTGAGGGTGTAGGACTCGGTGTAAGAATATGTGCTTTTAGCACCACAATCCCCAGCATCCAAAATAAGTAAATAATATGTTTTTAATAATTAAATAATATATTTTTTCTGAATTAGGTTTGCGGACCATGTTTGAGACTCTGCCTTTCTAAAAAAATAACATCTTCTCTGAGTGAAAATACCTATGCTATTATTTTTCTCTCTGCTTTAGTATTTTGTTCTTAAGTAATTTATTAAGTTGTATGTGTGTGCTTTAATTAATACTTATCTTAGACTATCTTTATTTTCAGGCTCTTAGAGTTCCTCTCAGTTTGAAGTATTCCTGCCCTTCTGAAAGCACATGGAAGCTAGCAGTATCTTCACTCCTCAAAGTTCTTTCTATTGGGCTACCTGTTGCCCGACAGCATGCTTCTTCTGGAAAATTTGACAGTATGTGGCCAGAACTAGCCAACACTTTTGAAGACTTTCTTTTTACTAAAAGGTCAGCTCATTTATTTAAAAGATTAAGACAATTTTTCAGAAATTGGCACATGATATATGCAGTTGCTCTAAAACCATGTTGTTTTTTCAATAACAAAGTAATTGATTAGTAGATTGTTAGACTATATATAAAACATGGCTGGGTTCCGCATTTATCCACTAAGTACATTATCCATGGTCAGTGGTATTTTTTTGCTTTTTGCAATGTTTTGTAAGACAGGAATCATACATATAAGACCATATGAGTGCAACATAATTAAGGAATTATGATTTTTAACTTAATGAAACTAAAAAGATTGATTTTTTTTTAAATCTGAGCCCCACTTGGTATTACAAGAGGAAAATTATTTTAGAAAATCAGTGTCTTCTATGTTGATATATTCTTGAATTCTTTAACTGATTTATACATATTAAGCCTCCACGAATAATCATATCTTTTTCCATGATATTCCTCCATTTTTTGATCTGTAAGCTGCTTTGCAAAGTAATCTAATAACAAAAAAAAAAAAAACAAGTAAAATCAAAATCAACTTGAAGAAAAGAAAAGCTTTGGACCTCATTAAGGGGTGTTATAAGTAAATAATTTAAATATTCAGCCAAACTTTTAATACCAAAACATGGTACTTATTCTAGTGTACACAGTGGGCTATCAGGAAATCATACAATTTATGGTCTGTATTTAGTACATTAAAAATCACTAAGTACTAAGTTGGGCACAGTAGCATATGCCTGTAACTCCAGGTACTTGGGTGACTGAGGCAGGGATATTGCTTAAACCTAGTAGTTAGGGCCAGCCTGTACAACACAGCAAAACCATGTGTCTTAAGAAAAATTACTAAGTACTATCCAAAACAGTTGAACACACATATTCATACAAAAATTTGTATGCTAGTATTCACTGCAGCATTATTTATAATAGCCAAAAAACGAGAACAACCCAAATATCTGTCAGCTGATGAATGGATAAATTTAGTGTGGTTTATTTATACAACAGAATGCTATTCAGCCATAAAAAGGACTGAAATAATAAAATAAAAGGACTGATGCATGCTATTAACATGGATGAACTTTCAAAGTATGCCAGGTGGGAAGAAACCAGACCCAAAATGTCATATATTGTACATTTCATTTATGTGATGTATCCAGAATAGGCAAATCCATAGAAATAGAAAGTAAATTATTTGTTTCCAGGAGTCAGAGAAGGGAGAAAATGGGGAGTGACTGCTACTGGGTACAGTTGCCTATAGGGTGATAAAAATGTTCTGGATTTTAAATGGTGATAGTTGTACAATTTTATGAATATGCTGAAAATTACTAAATTCTATACTTTAAAAGGATGAATTTGATTACATGTGACTCCTATCTCAATAAAAAATTTAATATACCATACAGAGAGAATTTGATAAAAAGTACAAATAATACTATATCAGTTTGAAGGTTTTTTTGTTTTTGTTTTTTTAATTTTTAGATAAAATCCTAGAAAATAATTTGTTAAAAATTACTGTACTCTTGGGCTGAGGCTGTAGCTCAGTGGCAGAGCACTTGCCTAGCATGTGTGAGGCACTGGGTTCTATCCTTAGCACCACATAAAAATAAATAAAAACATTCTGTCCATCTACACCTACAAAAAAATTTTTTTTAAAATAATGTACTCTTTAAATGCAGAGAATTTAAGTCTCATATAGGCAATTTTTATCTACAGTATTGTGATTAAGAGGAGTGAAATTTTCAGTTATTAATTTTGTTTGTACCTCTCCTCTCTTACATTTTATGTGACAACCCAGTCTGGTATTTCTGATACATGATGCAAATAGCATTAATATTATTTGTGTGTGTTCCCGATAAGATGTATGTATATATGGTGTGTGTGTGTGTGTGTGTGTGTGTGTGTGTGTTGGTTGAGGTACTGGGATTTAAACTCAGAACTCCACACATGCTACTCAATCTCTGAGCTACATGCCTAGCCCCTTTTCATTTTGCAACAGTGTCTCACTAAGTTGCTGAGGCTACCCTGGAACTTGGAATCCTCCTGCCACAACCTCCTGAGTAGTTTGATGGATTACAGGCATGCTCTTCTGTGCAAGGCTTATATATTTTTTTTATTGGTAACCCATCATTAATTATCTCCATCATTATCACAGATCTTTTAGTATGACTATAGACATGTACATTCCTTGGTTGTAACTTAGAATTAAACAAATTTTATCTAGAGATACAGGTAGGATTTGTGAAGCTGATTTGCTGGTAGTGGTTATAAAATTCCTGCCATTGGTTTAGGTTTGGGTTCATGTCTTTGTAATTCTTTTCCTCTAGTTCCTACTACTAGATTATAGAGTTAGTTGAGGACTTGTACACTAGAATGTAAGTTCCATAACACCTGGACTGAGTCTGTCTTGTTCACAACTGGATCTTGAACACCAAGAATATAATACCTGATACAAAGTAGTTGGTGCTCAGCAAATATTTGTTGAATGAAAAATGTGGAAATCATGCAACCAAGGTCCACTCCCATATGTCCTAGGTACAGAACCGTAAATACCTCTAAACCCAAGTGTACTATCATTATTGTTATATTACAACATAAAAGAGAACAGTATAGGCTTAAATATCAGATAAATCAGGTTCAAATTGTAGCCTTATGTTCTTGGGCATGTTATTGACCATTTGAAGCCCCGGTTTTCTCTTGATTAAAGGATAATTATAATACTGCATGGGATTGCTGTGGGAACGTGAGATTAATACAAATAAAGCTCTTATTTTAATGTCTAATTTTAGCCATCATTATTATTGTAATAATACTATCCTATTCTCAGCAGTTTTTTAAAACTGTTATTGTATTTTTTATACCTTTATTTTTATTCGTTTATTTTTATGTGGTACTGAGGATAGAACCCAGTGCCTCACACATGCTAGGCAAGCACTCTACCATGGAGCCACAACCCCAGCCCCTTTCAGCAGTTTTAAATAGTTAATATTTCACTGTTTATGTTCATAACCATTTTATTATTCATTCATGTGAGCCAGAGTCTGAAATCCCCATTGGTTCTCTCAGATTTATTTCCTCTGTTATTGTTGAAATAATTATATGCTTTATAAAATCTGAATTAGCCCTCCTCTTTGCATTTCTTCTCTTTTTTGTATAGAACTTTAATACATTATATTTATTATACACTAATGATTTAATTTGTCTCTGAGTAAATAATTCAGCAGCTTGACCCGGGCTCTCTTAAATCACTGCCTTACGTGAATTCAGATACCATTACGATAATTTTTACTGCAGTTGCAGATGAGGCAATATCTTTGCCTTTCTTTCTTTTTCATAGTACTGAAAGAAGTTTAGTGCTACCAGTTTTTAATTTGGAATTGGACCAAAGTGGGGTTTTTTTTAGTGTTTCTGTAATTTAAAAAAATTTTTTTAATATTTTTTATTTGTTCTAATTAGTTATCATGAAAGTAGAATGCATTTTGACCCATCATACATAAATGGAGTATAACTTCTCATTTGTCTGGTTGTAGATTCTGTAGACTTACACAGGTCATGTAATCATCTATGCACACAGGGTAATAATTGGACCAAGTGTTTTTATAGTTAAGAGTTTTTATATTTGTAATTAACCTAGTTTTTAAAATATTTAACAGTGTTAATTAGAAATAGTATTCTTTGACATAAATAACAATGTCCCAACCTGGGTGGAAAGATATAATTTTTTATCATTTGAGTACTGTTTATCTATTTTCTGTTTGTTTTTCCAGGGAGTATTTTACTATTAAAAACCTGGTATTTTGTTTATGTTTTTTAGCATACCTCCAGATAATCTCTCTATTCAAGAGTTTCAAAGAAATGAAAGTATTGATGTTGAGGTGAGGAAGCTATTTAAAACGTTTTCTTGTGATCATTTGTGAAAACCAAATAGTAGAAATGTTGAAGTTATAAAATTGCTAACAGAATAAGGTAAATAGGTTAAGACTGAACCTAAAAGTATTAAATCTCTTACAGATTAAAGGTTGATTTTTAAAGCACTGACATTCTAAAAATAATCCCTTACGATTTCTTATAGTCTTTTGCTATATGAATGTTGTCTATCCATTTAATAAGTTTATTAAAAAGCAGGTTGATTCACTAAAATAAATCCATAAGTGAACATGTATATGTATTTAAATGTTTATTCTGTAATTTGGCATGCCAGGTATCTATATTTCAGATCAGTGACTTGCTTAGTGTTTTTTCATTTTTAACCAGCTGTACATACAGCTTGCAGAATTATTAAGGCAATAGTTTTTTTAATAATACATTTTGAGGATTATAAATGGAATTTGAAGAAGCAGGTTTTTTAGCTATGGATGTTTTTTTGATGGCCTTTTGGGATCTTTTTTCTTTAAGTTAGAGGAACTTTTAAATAAATAAAGTTATTTTAAAATGTACATTTAAAAAGCATAGGCATCATCATATATATATATATATATATATATATATATATATATATATATATATATATAACATTGCCTTTTTGACATTACTGTGTTAATACTTACGTGAACTTTTCTTTTTCTTTAGAGGACAAAATAATAAGCTGTATGTTAGAAATAAATTATTTGATCAAAATGAAAACAAGTAAATTCTCTTATAGCTCATAGTTTCTCATTGTAAGAAGGTGATTTAAATCTTAATTTGGGATATTTTATTCTAATATGGGTAAGTTTCATATGCTGGCTATTTTCTTTCTATAGCTCTCCTTATAGTTATGCGGAAGATCAACATGAATCCAAATGATGGCATAGTAAATAGTTATAGTATTGACTGTTTTGATAGATGAGGGAAACAGACTAGTTATCAAGTACAGGAAACCTAAAAAATGTTTATATACTAATATTAGGAGGGTTCTTTAACTGATTTCCTTTCAAAATAAATTTTAAAATTTACTCTAGAAGTTATGAGTTAGTCTCTTTCAAGAAGAAAAAATGCATTTGAATTTTTCCTTTTTTTTAGGTAGTTCAGCTTATTAGCACTGAGATACTACCTTATGCCAATTTTATTCCTAAGGAATTTGTTGGTCAGATAATGACTATGCTTAACAAGGGCTCCATACATTCTCAGTCTTCTTCATTTACAGGTATGTTATTTTAATGATTTTTTTTTATTTTTAGGTGTTAGAAAGTCATATAAAATGTTTACTCTCTGTAGTAAATATAAATTGGAGACTGGTAGGGTAATTTTTAGGAAGGTAATATAGAACATTAAACCTTATGAGGAAAAATGTAAATATTCTGTGGTATAGTTACATTTGTAAAATGATTAATTAAATGACCTAGCACTTATGTAATCTGATACAGACATAGAGGCTGACCACAGTTACCAGTTTTGTGAGGTCATGGATGCCACTTATTATTTTGGTTAACTTCTTTTAACTCTCACTTCTGTAATTTTTAAAATGAAAATATTAATATTAACCTCTCAGAACTATGAATTACAGAATTAGTCCATATGGGAGGGAAAAACATAATACCTTAAATATTTATTAAGGGAACATTTAATGAATGACTGCTATATACAAAATACTATTCTGTTATTCTTCAAAATATTTCTTTGAGGATAGGTACTGTGATATTATAGAAGGGGAAAGGGATTCGGTATGGTTGAAAAAATTGCCCGCAATCTTAAGGCTGGAGGCCAAGTTCATACTAAAAAAACTGTATGCTTCTTTCTATCCCATCATTGTACCTTAATTGGGAGGTGATATATAAGTTGGTTTTTGGTATTTTTAAAAAATCTAAACCTCTGCTTAAGTCTTAAATGTAATTGTGGCATCCCAATGTATTTTTTCAGCATGATTATTTAAAAATTGTAAATTTATGCAGTGTATATTCTTAATCCGCAGAATTTATTGGAGTTGTGACTAGTATTTTGTGCTGAGTACTTTAAAGAACATTTATATGTGCAGTCTGACCACTAGATGTCTCTCATACAGCTTACTTTACAAACTTGTTTTTTCCTAGCCCTAACAATTTTAAAAGCTAACCTGGTAACTTGCAGGTTTAACAAACATGAGACTCTCAGAGAAAAAAATTTTAAGTCCATTTATAATGTAATCATCTGCAATCCCAGCTACTCAGGAGGCTGAGATAGGAGGATTTCAAGTTTGAGGCTAAACTCAGCAATTTAGAGAGGCCCTAAGCAACCTCGTGAGAATCTGTCTTGAAATAAAAAGTAAAATGGGCTGGGGATGTAACTCAGTGGTAGAGTACCCTTAAGTTCAATCCCTGGTACAAATTAATTAATTAATACATTTATAATATTTTAAATTATATTATATTTATAATCATATTATAATATAGTTCTATATATATATCTGTATCCAGGCATAGTGGTAACACACTTGTGATACCAGCTACTCAGAAGACTGAAGCAGGAAGATTGCAAGTTCAAGGCCATCCTGGGCAATGTAGTGAGACCTGTCTCAAAATTAAAAACAAAAGAATGAGGATTTAGCCCAGTAGAGAGTGCTACTGAATTTAATTTCCAGTACCCCGCCCCATACACACAAAAGGTCTGTGTACATACAAACACACACACGTATAATCTTTAATAAAATGCATTAAGAATTAGGTATAAATATCCTAAGCTAATTGAGGGCTGAGTTACCAAGTATTCTTTTTTTAGCAGTTTCTTATAATATCTATTCATAGTACTAAATGTACCAAGATAAGAAAGCTACATGGACATCCTTCCAGATATTTTTGCCATAAGACACAAATATCTTCTGAGCTTTAACTTGTATCTTTTTTAAAAAACATATACACACAAAGTCATTCCTTGCTAAACAAGGCCCACCTATAAATAAAGAAGTCTCAGTGCTCATATTGGTTCTCCATTCTTAAGTATGACCTGACATCCACAATTCACAGACAGAAAAGAGAAAGACCAAAATAAATGAAAAGGGAAGAAAAGAAACTGTGAAAGTGGGGAACAATAGCACATGCCTGTAGTCCCAGTAAGTCAATTGACTGACACAGGAGGATTACAAGTTCATAACCAGCCACAGCAACTTAGGAACCCTGTCTCAAAAAAAAAAAAAAGAACTGCATTACAGTGATCAAGCACCCCTTGATCTAGCACACACAACCCCACCCCCACCAGGAAAAAAAATAGAAACTGGGAAGAAACAGATAAATGCATAGCCGTAGAAAACATAAGAACACAATAATAATTAGGATCGTTGAAGGGATAAGATTTTTATATTCACGAAACAAAAAAATGTTATGAAAAAGGAACAATAAGAACTCAAACACTAAAAATATTGTAGCTGAAATAGATTTAGTGAATGTTGGCAGAAAAAAATTAAGGAAATCATCAATAACATAAAGTAAAAACAAAATGAACGACATAAGCAAAAAGAAAGGAAACAAATCCAGGCAGTCAAACATCAGACAGCAGATCTTCCAAAAGGAAAGAACAAAGAAATCTAGGACAGGAAATTGTCAAAGAAATAAACTGAAGAAATAGAGCTACATATTTAAAATGATCACTTAATACCCCAAATCATGAAGTCAGACAAAAGACCTTCAATAAGACATGCCATCAAAAATATCAAAATACCTAGGATAAACAAAAGATCCTTAAAGATCTCAGGAAGAAAAAATTCCAAAATAGCATTAGAATTCTTAGTAGCAATACTGGATGCTAAAAACATGAAACAGTGCATGTTTTTTAATTATTATTATTATTTTTTGGCAGTACTGGGGATTGGTTGGTCACCTGGCCTCAGGCATGCTAGGCAAGCACTCAGTTGAGCTACACCCTTAGCCCTTGAAGCAGTGGTTTTAGAATTGTAAATGAAAAGGATTTTAACATGAAGTTTCTTACCCAGGCACACTGTTGGATAAGTATTAATACAGAACACTAGTTCTCAAATTTTAGCATGTATTATAATGGAGGACAAGCTGTACTTCCAGATTTACTTCTGCAGTATGACCGGAGTAAGAATCACATTTCTAACAAGTGCTCTTGTGATGCTGATGTTGTTAGGAACCACACTTTGAGTACCACAGTAAAATGATGACATTTTCCAGAAGTACAAGGTCTCAAAATTTTTTTTTGTCCATTCAATCTTTCTTAGGAAGCTACTGTGCTGGGTGAGCCAGGCACAGTGGCACCCACTTGTAATCCTAGCAGTTCAGGAGGCTGAGGCAGGAGGATTGCAAGTTCAAAGCCAGCCTTAGCAACTTAGTGAGGCCCTAAGCAATTTAGCAAGACCCTGTCTCAAAATAAAAAATAAAAAGGGCTGATGATGTAGTTCAGTGGTAAAGCACCCCTGGACTCAAATCCCCAGTACCACCAAAAACGAACAACCCCACAAACATCCATGAAAACAAAGAAGTAAGCAAAGACAATGATGTGAGATCTAGGAAGTAAGATATAAAAGGAGGAAGGATGAAATTGGTTCCCAGGGTGTTGGCCAAAGACTACTTTTAGATCACCACTAAATAGCATGATTGGAAAACAAAATTAGTCCAGATTGGAAAAAGAAGTCATCTTCCAAAAATGGTGTTGCCAAGAGAGGGGAGGAGAGAGTGATTATTGCATTTGGCCCACAGAAAATTGTTTTATTTAGAAGTATTTTTATAGTGCTGTTGAATGATATAAAAAAACTTAGATAAGAAAATTGGTGCATAGAAGAAGTGACATGGGGTAGATGGTTTGCCTTATTTTTAATCTTGCAAGGGGGGAAACTGTTCATTTTATATATATATATATATATATATATATATATATATATACGTGTATATGTATATACACACATATATGTACGTGTGTGTGTGTGTGTGTTTGTGTGATTAATTATAGGTTGGTCATAAATAGTTTTCCTGAGACTGAGAATTTCTTTACATTTCTAGTTTGGTAGAGTTGTTATTGATGTATATTAATTTGACAATTTATTAACCATCAAAAATTGTTAACTTTGCAGAAGCAGAGATTGATATTCGTTTGAGAGAAGAATTTTCTAAAATGTGTTTTGAAACACTGCTCCAGTTTTCCTTCAGTAATAAAGTCACAACACCTCAAGAAGGCTACATCTCACGAATGGCACTCTCAGTGCTTTTAAAAAGGTCTCAGGATGTACTACATCGCTATATAGAGGATGAAAGATTAAGTGGTAAATGCCCTCTTCCAAGGTGTGTTTTTTATTAAAGGAAATGTACTTATGTCATGATTATTAATAAAAAATACCAAAAAACAAAAATAAAAAAGATAACTCTGAAAACCAAGTATTTTCTTAAGTAATCTGAACTAAGGATGTTCATAGTTTTATTTATTCCATACAGTGTAAATATTCATAGGTTTTTCTGCAGATAACATTAATGTGTTTTATTATGGGGTGGTTTTTTGGACCCTTTGTGGAGGTTAAGGTACTATGTGAAGTATGTACTAATTTACCTTTTTGAATCTGAAAAAAAAAATTGAATTCCTAAATATGTCTTCTACCAAAGATTTCTAGATAGAAATGTATAAGGACATGATCTTATTTCTCTAAAGTGAAGATAAATTACATTCTAGGAATATGTTTGTTTTATAGTCATTTCTAGGTTTCTCTCTATATCAACTATTTACATCTTAGATTTTTTTTTTTTATCTAGTCTGTATATATATAAGCCCATGATCCCAAACTGATCTCCTTCTCATCTATCCCAGTTCTGTCAGTAGAAGGGGCTCTAGGCCTTTCTGCTAAGCCAAAGCTAATCAAAATTGGTATACAGACCAGAATTCATCAAAAGATGCAATCATAAATTAGGGTAGACACCAGGCATGGTGGTGCATGCCTGTAATCCCAGAGGCTTGGGAAGCTGAGGCAGGAAATGGATTGCAACTCTATATTTTAGAAAGGAAGGAAATGTTGGATTGCAACTCTATTTTTTAAATATAAAAATTAGAGCTTAAATCAAAGCGAATGAAGCAGACAGAAAATAATGTGGGAGGACAAAGTTATCAAAGTTAGGAAAGAGTCAAGAAAATCACTGTGACTTCCATCTCATAAATTACTATAGGAGAGGCAAATCACTTGCCTTAAATCTTTGTGTACATTCTTATTTACTTATAATAAATTTCAAAAGTTAGAATTGATCTGTCAAAGGATGTAGACATTTTAAAGCTTTTTATATGTATTACTAAATTGCTTACCAGAGGTTTATATTTATGTCTGGAAATTTACATTTTCCAGAAGTATATGTATGAATATCCTTTCCTCAGTTTTTAGCATTTTAAAATGGTTTACCAGTTTATCATTTATTGCATCTTTTTCTAATTGGTCAATGAAAAAGAACCATATAATAGCTTACCTTTTTATTTAATTACTAATGCTTATTAGCCATTCATAAATCTTCTTTTATAGCTCAGCATATTTTAAAATTTCTAGAACATAAATTATAAATCCTCACATTTAAATTTAAATGAAAGAACATTGTAAAGACAGGTATTAGTAATTTAGTTATGGGCATGATTAAAAATTGGTAATCAAAATTGATTTCTGAAGTGTATTTAGAAATACAGAAATAAAGTTGCTTTGAGTGGTCTATTTTATTTATTAGATTATAATATATTGATTTCAGAAATCATCTTTTCCTTTATGTTTTTATGTTCTGAGTATTTAACTATTACCTTTAAATTGACCTTATTTATGGATGTCCTGGCGTTATATTGTGTCATTCTGTTTGTTGCAGTATTATTAAATTTTCTAAAAAGCTACATTGCGGCACAATAAATACTTTCTATGCCTACAAAAAGGACTTAAAATAGTACCATGTTTTGGTATTAGAAAGGTCCTATCTATAAAATGAAAACAAACTCATGTCAGGAATAAGTGGGGGCAATGGGGGCTATAAAGCAGAAGAGGTTTATTTCTTTCAGGAGAAAGAAGTGAATCAAGCTATTCTTGTTGGTCCTGTACTCCTAGGTTCATTCTTTGTTGCTAATGTCTCCATATAGTGCTACCTTAGGGTTAATTTCTAGCATGTTTCTTGTTTATTAGAAAAATTAAGTGTCATTGCAATTTATCTACCTCCCTCCCTCCCTCTCTCCCTTCCTTCCTTCCTATTGGTACTGAGTATTTAACCCAGGGGCACTTAACTACTTGAGCCACATCCTAGCCCTTTTTTATTTTTTATTTTGAGACAGAGTCTGACTAAGTTGCTTAGGGCCTTGCTAAGTTGCTGAGGCTGGCTTTGATTTTGTGGTCCTTCTGCCACATTCTCCTGAGTCACTAGGATTACCCATATGGCCACTCTGCCTAGCATATCATTGCTATTTTGAATGTGCTTTTAACAGCCTGGTAAAATATATGCCAAGTGGTAAGTGTATTCTATTTCCATTTAATTTTTGGCAAATTTCTTATACTAATTAATTAACAACAATGAAAAACTCTTGTAAAGATGTTTTAAAATCACATTATAAAGTATTTTAAGTAGTGCCAGGCATGGTGGCCTACGCCTGTAATCCCAGTGTCTCATGAGGCTGAGGCAGGAAGATCTCAAGTTCAAAGCCAGCCTTAGCAAAAGTGAGGCCCTAAGCACCTCAGTGAGATCCTGTCTCTAAATAGGGCTGGGGATGTGTTTGAGTGCCCTTGAGTTTAATCCCCAGTATCTCTACCTCCAAAATTTAAGTATTTACATGAAATATTTTACAAATAAATTTAGATTTGCATGAGTAGTTTGCCCCTTTTAAATTGATAATTTAAAGTAAGAATAGCTACTAATCAAATTTGCACACTGAAATATACATATTTATATGTACTTATTATTTAAATAATATATGAAATGACTTTTCCTTTTGTAATAATTTTAAATTAACATTAACTTTTAATTACATTGTGTTCAGTATTTTTCTGAAGTACATCTGTGTGTACAGACCTTGAAGACACCCAGAATTCACAGTATATTTTAAAATCTTGATGGAAATAATTTCTCATTTCTTTTAGACAACAAGTAACGGAAATCATATTTGTTTTAAAAGCAGTCAGTACTCTCATTGATTCACTTAAGAAAACTCAGCCTGAGAATGGTAAGTGCTTAGAAACTCAGTTATCCTAAAATTCATAGCATTTATGTTCTATTTATGATATACTTTTGTGTTAGATTTTAGGACTAGACTTTATTTTCTCCCCTTCTCATGACAACAAAACATTAAGTCCATTAGGTTGTCAACTAAGTTAATTTAATTCATAATGGGATTTTTTTTTGGTCTTTAAAAAAATCTAAATTGGTTTGAATTCAGGGTGTTGCATGGACAATTCATATTTCATAAATTTTTAATGTAGAAGATCATTAACGTTGGGGTGATAGGTGAATGGAGGACTTTCATCTTCTATTTTTACTGATTCTATAAACAGAAGCTGTATAAATAACTTAAAGTTATTTTCACAGTGCTTTCTCACTTGTTTTCCTTTCTGATAGTCATTCCTTTCCAGTCCATTCTTTTTTTTTTTTTTTTTTTTTGGGTACTGGGGATTGAACTCAGGAGAACTCAATCATTGAGCCACATCCCCAGCCCTATTTTGTATTTTATTAAGAGACAGGGTCTCACTGTGCTTAGCACCTTGCTTTTTTGTGTGTTCCTATAATAATCCAAGAGTCTATTGACTTTTCATCTGGCTATCTAGGTGGGTTTCAATGTTTATAAGTTTTTATTAAATGATGAATGTAAGGTTTCCCAGAAGATGACTGGAAAAGACTCTTTAAACTTCCTAGACCAGTGGTGTTTAGCCTTTTTTTTTTTTTTTTTTGACTTCTGTTAAGCTGCAAAATTCTTTTTACAAATGAAATGTGATATGGATTCCTAACATAAAAACAGATAAAAGCAGAACAGCTCTAGTCTGACTTTCCACACCCTTACCAATACCCTTCCTCTTTTCTTTTTCGCACCTCTATCCTGAGAAAGCTTCTTTTTGGGAAAACAGATTTAATGAACAGGTCAGCATTTTCTAAGATGTATACTAATGAGTGACCTTTATGATGAATGATATTTTATTCTTATTACATTACAGTTGATGGAAATACCTGGGCACAAGTAATTGCCTTATACCCAACTTTAGTAGAATGCATCACCTGCTCATCTTCAGAAGTCTGCTCTGCACTTAAAGAGGCACTGGTACCCTTTAAGGATTTCATGCAACCACCAGCATCCAAAGTTCAAAATGGAGAATCTTGACCAGCTACAATACATTTGAAGGAAGAAAAATATCCTAAAGATTGTTTGCTTCTGAGTCTTCTGTAAGAAGGACATTTCTTACTACAAATGATTCTTGGCAACTGTTGTTTGCCTCCTTTGAATTGTAATTACCTGAATTCAGTAATTCATATTACAAGCTTACACATCAACAAAGGCTCATGAATGAGTAGCAGTGCAAGCCTTTAATAAATTAAACTGATGGAAGAGATCAGTTAATGCTATAACATAGCTGCTACCATATCTTCAGTTGGTGATTTAAAAGTGAGCTTATGTACAGTTTGTGGTGTATGTGTTAATGATGTACTTTTTAAAAAGAAAAGATATTTCAATTCCGTCAGATTTATTAGGCTGGTGTTTTTGCACCCTTTTTCAGGTACAAAATTGTACTAAAATTTTATGCAAGATTGTACTGTAACATTCCATATTATCTACAACCAGCCTTTGTAAACAAAGGGAACTGATATACTTGTGTGTATAATAAATGGTACAGTTCTGTATAAAATAGTTGAATTTATTGTTTAAATTTTAATAATATTGATAATGTTAAATGCTTGAAGCTCTATTATTAATTCAAAATTATTTACTCACCTTTTTTCTTTAATTTGCCTTCTTATGCAGCAAATAAGTTTACCATGTAAATCATACAGTTAGCTTCTTGTTTATTTTATATGTATTGTTAGTGACCATTAGCATCCAACTAGAAAGGTCATGTGAACACAGCAGCAAATAGTCTATGACCTGCTGATTTTGCAACTTTGAAATATAGGTTATTAACCTAATACATTGAGATAATTATAGCACTATGACTCCATCATACCTCATTTATTTAAATCTCTCTCCAAACTTTCACTTAAGTCTGTCTGTTTTTATATTTGCTGTCTTTTAAAGACTTTTCATATTTTATATTTCTACTGATTTTTTTCCTGTGACTAACATTTGTCACTGTCTTTGAATTATTACCCAGACAAGATTTCAGATTTCCCAAAATTTTGCCTGGGAGATTTTGTTCATTTCAGTGCTTCATTTTGTAATGTTTTCATGAGAAGGAAAATAACTATAGTAACCCACATGTAAAAAATGTGTGTATGTATTTCAAAACAATGACAAGTGTATTTTTGGAAATAGACAAACATTTAGAAGTATAGTAAACTTACTGTCTTGGAGTAAAATGCTAGTTTTTGTTTCACTCTCCTATCCTAGTGAAGAAGAAAAGTGCTCTTGAGTACATTAACTTGTTTCTTTAAAAACTGACCTAGCTCACTGTATTTTTTATTTAATGTATTATGCTATTATAATATTTTTCTTCTGAGTTAAATTTTCATAATCACTTATGTGAAAACATGAAGATGTTTAAAACAAATGATTATTCATAAGAAATAATAATGGTCTTGGTATTATTTTAGTGTACTGGAAGGATTTTTTATTTTAATAGAATTTATAAATTTCAGCCCCTCTAGAATAATCTTAAAACTGCAAGGAGATGTTAGAATTGAGTAATGAAGGGAATGCAATTTGGGGGTCTCTTGTAATTGTGTAATTATTTAATTTGCACTATTATCTGTAAACATGGTAAGGCCTAGTTTTTGAGGGAATGTGTTTATTTATATGAATCAGTGAATTTCTGTTTTATTATTTCACCTGATATTAAGGTAAAATATGGCTTTTCATAGATTTTACTTTCAGCATTTTCCTTAAAGTTGTGGGGAAAAAAATTACCCAAACTTAATTTTCTATATTTGAATAGGTTAAGTTGGGAATTTAAAAAGTATGAATATCTTGATAGAGTATTGAAGTGGAATAACAAGGGTAGTATACCATTTTAGTAACATGTTAAAAATATTGCCATGAACTTACATGAAGTAAAAATGTCTATTTTTGAGAAATAACAGATCAATTGCACTCAGAATGATTGTTCTCTAGTGAAGGTTAAATATGAGTCAAGGGTATACAGCATACATTTATATAAACTGAATAGTTTGAGCTAATACTGTTTAACTTTCAATACTAGGACCATGCCCTGCTGTTCAGAACACATTAATGTGATGAATGTGTTAATACCGTAATCAGTGAAAGTCTTAGTGTCAAGCATGTGAGCTGCCCCCTGGGTAGAATAATTGACAGACCTTTTCCCCCAGCATATCTCCTATAGCTCTCCAGGAGTCACTGATTGCAATTCATGCTCTTGAGGCAAGCTTTCCTCTAGACTGTATTTTTCGAAACTCTCCGGACTCCAGGGAGGTTAACACATTGACCTGGCCTTATTAAGTGTGAATTGGGTTCTTTAGAAGAACTAGGTTGTATAAAATTGCTAGATGCCAAGAGATTCAAAAAGGAAGCTCCCAAAACTATGTTCATTTTGTTGCACAAGTGAGCCTGTTAACTAGTCCTTGAAATAGTACTAATAATGTTCTCTGGGATACATATTAGAAATACAAAGTATTTAAAGCCTCACATAATCACTTTTTGTCACTGACAAGGCCTATGTTGTAGATTGATGAACAATAGGCAACAATTGGATGATTAATGAGGTTCTTTTCTATTTTGTTCTTTATAAACAAACAGTTTTTAAATAGATTGATTTTCAGTTTCCAACAATGTTAGCACTGCCAAGAAAGAAAAGTTCATTTTGTAGTGTCTTATTTAGGATTTCTTTTTAACTAGTGTTAAAAGTTTTATTAATTTTATTGCATATATTCATGAGTAACATTTACTAGGAGCCTGTTTGATGCCATAAGGGGAAAAAATGCTGTGAAGTCTGACTTTAAGACTTTATTTTTAATTTTATTATATAAATAGCTAACTTCTATGTTGTTTCTCTCCTGTTTTCCTCCCTGTGGTTATTGATTCCAATTTTGCTACATTCTTTAAAGAATGTCAGCAGAAGGAAGAGATGAACAAGTTAGTGATATATTTTATCATGGATGATTAACATTTCCTTTAAGTAGCAGGCCAAAAACAACTGTTATATGTTCTTTCTCATATAACCTTGAGTATTTTGTTCATTATCACAATTTGGTACCACTAGTCCTAGGTGAAAAGATCCAAATTAAAAACTTGAGGGTGAGGTAGCATAAATTATTGAACAGAACTAGGAAACAACTGAAAAGTATAGTATGCATTAATGAAGTGGTTATTATTACATCAATGTCAATGAAGGGCAGTGTAGTTATTGTATAATGGCTAATACATCCTCCATATAGAATAATTTAGATGGGTAACTAAATCCTTAAAAAGACTGCTTGTTATATAGGGGGATCTTTCTAGCCAAGGCAGAATACTTTCAGGAACGAACCTACCTTTGATTACTACAGAAATTAACTGGAAGTGTAGAAACCCTGAAATGGATCAAAGTCTGGACCCAAAATATTGTGGTCTATAGTGTTTTTGTTTTTGTTTTGTTTTTGATAGAAAACTACCAAAAATGTGTACAGAAGTGGTCTCTTTGGAAGCCTTGCTAGCGGCCTGATATGTTCCTTTAGATTTCCACTTAGTAGATTTGGCATTTTGTCAGATATGTGTAATGTATTATATTTTACTATGCTTAGTGTTGCTGGATCATATTTATTTACATTATTAGTGAATTTTGCTTTTTTTAAAAAATCACCATTTGTGAGAAGAACAAGAATTCATATCACATGGTGTGTCACCAACTTATATTTAGTGGGTAAATAGTTTTTTAATATTTCATGACCATTTGGATTAAATTTTTTTGTACTTCTGGAAAGTAGAGTGATGCTTTCATTTTGAATGAAAAGTTTTTATAGATTGGAAAAAGAAAACTAATATCATTATGTCTTGAATTGTATGCATACCACTTCAGATGGGGTTAGATAAAATAAATTTCCTATAAATTTAGTAATTCAGAATATACCAGCAGTGTTTTTTTTTTTTTAAGACATGCCACGAGTCCTTTTGTGAATCTGAATACACTTAGTAATTTTGGCTAATTGAAGGCAGTGAAGCTGAGGTTCTGCCTATTCTTTGACTTTTAGCAGTATATTAACTTCTCAAGATTCTCTTTCTTTTTCTTTTAACAGTACTGGCTATTAAACTCAGGGGTTGTACCTGCTAGGCAAGTGCTCTACCACTGAGCAACATTCCCAGACCTTTTCTTTTATTATTTTGAGACAGAGTCTCACTAAGTTCTTGATACAAGCCTTGGACTTGTGATCCTCCTGCCTCAGCCTGTGGAGTTGCTTGGGATTACAGGCATGTACCATTGTGTCTGGCTCTGTTTCTTACTTCTAAAGCAGATATTATAAGTTGCTATTTTTTAAAGAAGAAATGCATAATTTGAGTTTGAAATTGATTTCATAATAATATTCTTAGGGTAATTATTCAGGTCATTTGATAAATGTACCACTATATTCTAACGTTTTTGTCATCCCCCTCCTCCCCGGCCCACCATAGGCATCTTTTCTTTTTTCTTTCTTTTTTTTTTAATGTGTTTACCTTTTCCTCTTACTTTCTTCTGGCTTTTCTCTTTTCATTTTTTTATTCTCTGCCTCTTCTCATTCTGTTCTTCCTTTAATTCACCTCTCACTTGATCATAAGTAGCAGAACTATTAATGGTAGAACCACAGTTCACTACCTAATAAGATTTTGTAAGTCCTTCCACTTTGCCCACTATGCTTAGTGTTAAATAGAAGAACTTTAACTTGTTCTTCATTTTGCAAAAAATGAAGTTCCCCTGCCATTTCAAAATAGAAGAACAAGATAAAGTAATTGGTGACTATAGCTTCTACTGTCTTTCTGAATCCACAGGATGCTCACAAAATGGGATTCTATAGACATGAGGGATGTAACTGCTAAATTTGGAAACGATCATGTCTTTGCTGTGATGTGAATATAGAGAGATGATGCCACTTTTCTCAAGGAGGAATGTTTAAAATCTATTGACTTGAGGGTTTTTTGTGTGCCTGTGTTTTGTTGTTTTTTTTCTTTTGGGAGAAGGTTGTTTTGTTTTTTAAAGATAGGTGCTTTGAACTGTTTTAGATTTATGTTGTCCAAATATTACTTATTGATTGATAATATTTGCACTGTCTACTTTGAGGAAGGATTTGAGGCAGCCTATTGTCCCTATATTTCATCCATTTGTTTTTCTGTTGCAAAGTAATTTTGTGGAACACCTAAGACACCTAGTTCTTATCTCTGAATCTTTCTATACTATCCATATGCTTGTTGCTTATGTTTATGCAGAGGTCAATTAAAACATTCCCAATTATGCTATGGGATTGATTCTAGTCCATCAAATAAGAAAAAGGAAACTATTGAGTTTTGAGAACATTTTTAGTTGCTGCAAATGATGTTACCTTAAATTATATTTTAGACTAAAAGTCAATTAATAGAGCAGCCAAGAAAGATCTCCTAAGCCATGCCTTTATTTGGAAAACAATTGCAATATATTAACAAGTACTTTTTTGTATGAAGCTTTACTAGATGGAGAAAAATTCCAAAGTTACAATATTTCAGGCTTATTCTTTTTATCTAAATAAATAAATAAAATATTAAGCTGTAGCCCCAACTGTGCAAATTTTGTTTGCTTTCCCGCTTTTACTACCTCTGTCACAATTTTAACACCTAGCATACAACCCCCATCTCTTAAGGCAGTTACCATATGGTGTTTATGTCAGACGATACATTTATCTAATTTTGTGAGATTCTGTTTCAGTTCCCAACACAGTTCTTAAAAGTATTGCCACTGTTGTACTTTTTCCTGATAATTTTTACATTGTTGATGTGTATCAGCTACATATTATAATCATGAAAGTCTTTGGGCTTCAAACTGAAATGTTCTTTGTAGTGGAGGATATATTTTTCAAAAAGCTACATTGTCATAATGGTAATTGTATATATAGATCCTGAATTTCTTTTACAGTTACTAGCATGATTCTAGGTTTTTTTTTTTTTTTGAGAGAGAGAGAGAATTTTTTTTAATATTTATTTTTTTAGTTTTCGGCAGACACAACATTTTTGTTTGTATGTGGTGCTGGGGATCGAACCCGGGCCGCACGCATGCCAGGCAAGCACGATACCACTTGAGCCACATCCCCTGCCCAGATTCTAGGTTTTTATTTATGTGCCAGTAGAACTCGTTTTCTCATTATAATATAAAATCATAATTTCTTTGATAATGTACCTTCAGATTTGATCATTGATTCATTTTTCTTTACTATCTTTTGTTTGCTTTCTCATCCCCATTAATTCTAGACATTATTGACACCCCACATTATTTGACTGTTTAAAGACAATAGTAATTCAGGTGTTGCACATTTGTAATCCCAGTTACTTAGGTGGCTAAGGCAGGAGGATCACAAGTTCCAGGCTAATTCAGTCAATTCAGGATGAACTGAGAAAAAGGATGGTGGTGGGGACTTTTATAAACCAAGTGTGGAGCCAGACTGGTTAACTTCAAATCACAGATCTTTTATTTACCAGACATATGACCTGAGCAATTTAATTAACTTGTTTTGGTTTTCTCATTTATGAAACAAGAGTTAATTGTGATATTAACTATTGTTTATTGTAATATAAAGAGTGTTATAAAGCATTGGGCCTGGGACATGGTAAGTTTTAAGTAGTAAGAAACATTTGGCACACATAATTCAAGAAATATGCAAAAAACCCATAACTTCTCATGCCATAATAGGAACTAATTATTCCTTTTACTGGACAACCACCAACTATTAAGAATCTACTGTGTGTTCTTTATTATGTCCTTGTTGATATGTGACAAAGTCATTAGGGGATCTTACGTGCTGCTCATAGCTAGTTGGGGGAACCACATGCCAAAAATAATAATAAATACAAGGGTATATCAAGAATAGATTTGTCATTAACAACATTTTAACTCTGATTTTGTGTTAAGTATTGAGTTATTAGTCTCTTCCCTTATGGAGGTCACACTATAAACATGAGGGATGCAACTGCTAAATTTGGAAACAATCAAATTTGACAAATGTTAAATGAACTTTAACAAATGTCCAAAGTACAAAGAAAGACAAGCTTAGATTAATATGGGATCATAAAATAAGGAAACTTAGCCTAGTCATCTGTGGTTCAGGTTACTATTGCTATTAGTGTTCAACAGAAAAATCAATAAAGAAATGAAAGAGATGGGCATGGCAAAGACTTCAGGAGGCTGAGGCAGGAGGATCTCCAGTTCAAGGCCAACTTCAGCAACTTGAGCCCTAAGCAACTTAGCAAGAACTTGTCCCCCCACCAAAAAAAAAAAAAGAAAGAAAAAAGAAAAGAGGGCTGGGGGTGTAGCTTAATGGTGAAGGGCCTCTGGGTTTAGTTCCCAGTATCAAAAAGA